TTTAGCTAACATACGTGTAAATTTTACCATATTCCTAGTAATGACCCTCGTATTGTAGATAGTCTTAATGACCTCATGTAGTAGATAGTCTTTTTAGTATAATAATATGTTATCTTCATTATAGAATAATAAGAAAATATTATATAACCTTTATATTATAATAATAAGGTAAAAGGACCCCAATGGAAATAAGTCACTCTGTCTGACTTTTTTGGGTTATCCCAGGTTCTCTACACATGTGCTGCTATGTATGATAATTCTATGTAACTGTATTTGTGTATACCTGAATAAACTTACTTACTTACTTACTTACAGTATAAAATGCTTAGATAGGAATAGAAGAGGTGGGGTATGTACCTTCATAAGATATGACTTAGCCTACAACCCAAGACCTGATTTAAATGACAATAAACTGGAGATGCTATGGTTTAAAATGTTGCTTCTCAAGACCAAACCCATCTTAGTAGGAACTAGTTACTGCCCTCCCGCCCATGACCAGTTCTTAGAAGACTTTTTGAGAGTCTTGTCTGGAACTTGAGAACAATTGCGAGACAGTAATACTGAGGGACTTCAATATCTGTTTTCAATAGCAAAATAACGGGCTATGTAAAAAGTATAAGCAAATTCAATTCTAGGTTTAAATAGTTATACTCGACCAATTAATACACCAACCCATATCACCCAGTTCTCAGCCACCCTAATTGACCACATACTTTGTAACCACTGTGAGAACATTAGTCAGTCAGGCATCATTTACTGCACTAGGAAAATCACTAGGGAATGGATAAGCCTACACAGAACAATAAAAATGAGGTCAAGTAGAAACTACAGTGAACACTTGTATATAGGCTACACAATTGTGATTGGACAGTGACAACAAATTGCACAGACGTAAATGATGCCTGGGAAAAATTCAAAACAATGTTCACTGCCATCCTTGATAATATTGCACCAGTGAAAGAGGTTAGGATTAAATGGAGAACTGAACCCTGGATGACTACTGAGATATTGGATAATATGAAATTTACAGACAAGTTGCTAAAAAGACTTAAGGCAAACCAGACAGGATATAATAGCACTAAATGAATTCCAAAGGGTAAGGAACAGAGTGCAGAAGCTTATAAAAGGAGCAAAGGCAAGGCGCTATTGTGCAAAAATCAGAGTACAAGAATAATCCTAGAAAGCTCTGGCAATAACTAAAACAGTTGGGGTATAGCCATAAACTTGTAGATAGATCTAACATAGTACTAAATTTCGAGGTATGCCATGAAACAACTAAAGTGGCAGATTGTCTTAATTCCCACTACACATCTGTCACATCAACACTAGTAAGAAAACTACCGGCTGCATCAAATACCTGTAACACTGCCTCTGATAAGTTTAAAACATGTTATACCAATAAAGAGGTAACCCCAAGTGTATCTCATGACTTCGTGCAAAAAGAACTAAGCAGGTTAAGTCCATCTAAGAGGACCGGCCCAGATAACATCCCGCCTAAATTCCTAAAAGATGGTGCCTCTGAACTGCCAGTCCCCATTGCTCACATAATAAATTTATCCATCACCACTAATACTGTACCAGAGGGGCTCAAGGAGGCCAGAGTTATTCCTATCTTCAAGAAAAATAGTAGGTCTGATATCAGCAACTATAGGCCTGTTAGTATACTCAGTGTAATATCCAAAATTCTAGAGAGGGCGGTGTACTGTCAAGTAGTCAAGTATCTTCATGACAACAACATTCTTCACTAGTTACCAGTCAGGCTTGAGGAGATCTTATTCAATCGACACCTCCTTAATTAATCTGATGGATTACATGAGAATCGAAATGTCGATAGGGAACCTCATAGGAATGGTAATTTCAGGCTTGCAAACAGTGGCAGCTCATGCAGAGGTGCTGCAGAACTGCAGCACCCCCTGTTTTCTTTAATTCTTTGATTATATAATGTACAGGTATAAAGAAAGAAAGAAAAGAAAAAAAAAGACTCATTATACTGAATGTTATCAATAATATCGGGTGAAAATAGGGGGTGCTACAGTTCCGCAGCAACCCTGCACGAGCCGTCACTGCTTGCAAAAGGCCTTCGATACTGTCAACCACAATATATTATGTAAGAAACTTCAAGATATCAGCATAGGTTCCGTACACTGGTTTAAGTCCTATCTTAACAGGAAACAAATTGTCAATATCAACAAAACAGAATCACAACCCCTGCCGATAGCATGTGGAGTTCCCCAAGGTAGTATTCTGGATCCCTTATTATTCCTGTGTTATGTAAACGACATGCCCATCAGTGTCAAGTGCAAACTCCTACTGTATACGGATGACAGTGTACTGTTAGTGTCAGGTAAAGGACCCACAAGATACAGCTAATGTAATAACACTGGAACAAATGGTTAGTAAACAACAAACTATCGTTACACCTTGGGAAAACGGAAGCCATAGTCTGGCATGAAACAAACTGAGAAGGGCAAATAATTTTAATGTCTGGTGTAATGGGGAACCCATCACTTCAGTTTCCTCAGTAAAATATCTGGGAATCCCCTTTGAACCATCCATGTCAGGAGAATTGATATGGAACAGCGTAGTAAAGAAAGCAAATGTCAGACTGAAGTTCCTCTACAGAAATCACCTTGTCTACCTATTGAGGCTTGCAGGACCCTATGTCTAGCCCTTATACAATATCATATGGACTATGCTTGCTCTTCATGGTACTCTGCCTTAACAAAAAAACTGAAAGACTGCAGAACAAAATGGTAAGATTCATACTGGATCTGGGTCCAAGAGAACATGTAGGCCAGGATGAATTACAACAATTGGATATGCTGAATGCTAAAGACAGAATAAAACAACTGAAGTTATATCCAGTTCACAAAATTCCTCAGTGTCCAGAATATCTTGCTGCCAATTTTGTCAAGGCTGGGAACCAAAGCAATCATAGTATACTAGGGGGAGAGAGCACAACTCTATAGTACCCACAGTGACCCAACTTCAAACACCTTTTACTGTACAGTAATAAAGGAATGGAACAGACTGCCTGCACATGTCAAAGCCAGTCATAGCATGAACCAGTTCAAAAAGAGTCAAAAGGTGCCTAATGAATGTAGCAAAAGAAAGGAAGGAGAATGATTTCTTCCTTTTTCTTTTTTAGCTAACACACTTGTAAATATAAACAACTAATTTTACCTTATTCCTAGTATATCTCCTTTATAGTATAATAATAAGACATCTCTTTTATAATATAAGGTATTAAAAGGACCCCAATGGAATAAGTCACTTTGACTCACTTTTTTGGGTTATCCTAGGTTCTCTACACATATGCTGCTATGTATGATAATTTATGTAACTATATTTGTGTATACCTGAATAAACTTACTGACACTGCTTTTGGGAGATTCTGAAGAGAAGCTGCAAAGGTTAGTGGATGAATTTGGGAGGATGTGTAAAGGTAGGAAGTTGAAAAGTGACCATAGGATTGAGCAAGGTGATGAAAAATTGGATATCGAATTTGGAAAGGGACTATGGAGGAGGAGAGTGTGTTCATATATTAGGGAGTGGACTTGCCGGCAGATGGGTACATGAAAGACAAGGTGAACCATTAAAGTGATGAAGGGAAAAAAGGTGGGTGGTGCATTGAGGCATCTGTGGAGACAGTTATCCAAAGGCAAAGAGGGTAATGTATTAGAGTATAATGGTACCAACACTTTTATATGGGTGTGAAGCATGGGTTGTTAATATTGCAGTGAGAAGGTTGGAGGCACTGGAAATGTCTGAGTGCAATGTGTGATATAAATATTATGCAGAAAATTCATAGTTTGGAGATTACGAGGAGGTGCAGTTACTAAAAGTATTATCTAGAGGGCTGAGGAGGTTTGGACATTGAGAGGATGGAGAAAAATAGAATGATTTGGAGGGTGTATAAATCTGTAATCTGTAATGGAGGGAAAGTGGGTAGAGGTTGCCCTAGGAAAGGATGGAGGGAGGGGATAAAGAAGGTTTTCTGTGCAAGGGGCTTGGACATAGAGCAGGCATGTGTAAGTATGTTAGATAGTGGATTCAAATGGTTTTTGGGACTTAATGAGCAAGGTAACATTTTGTAAAGGGATTCAGGGAAACCAGTTAGCCCGACTTCGGTCCTGGAGATGGGAAGTACTATGCCTGCACTCTAAAAAAAGGTATGGGGGATATTTGCAGTTTGGAAGTAGTATTTGTGCACCTCTGGCAAGACAGTGTTAGTGGATGATGGTAAAAGAGTTTCTTTTTCAGGTCACCCTACCGTGATAGGAGACGGCCAGTGTAATTAAAAAAAAAAAAGTCCCTCTATCATATTATATCAGTATGAACATAAATTTACCTCAAGGGAGGTTCCTCGATACTGACAAGAGGCTCCTGATCTAAGAAAATGGAACTGCCCTCTCCATGGATAGAACTTTATTGCTGTGAACCCTATGGCTTCCTCATAATATTACTGGTACAATTCATTTGTACAGCCATCACATATACAGTACTTTATTCATTGATTTTTTCTAAAATATTTACTTGCTTATACAGTAATTGCAGTTCTTAATAGGTTCAGAAGGTTACATTAACTTTTCCCATGAGCTACATACAGCTCACCATTTGGTGACCCATGTTGCGGTGTATATTGCTATGAGAAGTGGAGAGAGTGAAAACCAGTATAATTAAGGGAAGGACTAATTGTAATGCATATATTAATTAAGCAGTGACTGCTTTAAGTGTAAACAGTATGCAGGTTCAAGCATTATTGACCGACACGGTATTTTTCACATTTACAAATTCGATTAAATGAGGTTACTTTTTAGGATTATGATTCTATTAAAAAAAAAAAAAAGATAAATTGCATAATTATGTAGCATAACAGTTCATAAATTTGCATTATATCCATTTTATTCAATTAAACATGGCTAAGGTACTTTTATGTTTAAAATTTAGTTTAACTGTATATAACAATGTAGTATTAAGTATGGATAAAAGAAAGTTAATTTTATTATAAGCTTTTATTTGTGCAACATGATACACTTGGGCTAAAGGCTGCTGCTTGACACATTGCCTGCAGACTTGCCAAAGGGTACATACAATATTAACCTTACTCATACGTTATTCCTAAAATAACATACAAAGGATTATTAATTAACAATACAAATATGCAGCTGCAATAGCATAATTCATATGCTCTTGTAGGATTTAAGTACTAAATAAAAACATTGCATAATCTACATATATACATGAAGACTAAGAGGCCCCAATCTCCTGTCACATAAATTATTCTGCTTGCAGACAACATCCACAACTAGGAAGCACACACATGCTAAATTATGCATACAATAATTACAGCATTATAGGAAGCACAGTAACTATAAACTGTGTATAGTGTCCTTCATAAAAGTGAAGAATGAGGGAGGGATCTGTTCGTGTCAATAAGATTATTTAGAATACATCAAGTGAACTTTCTCCACTACCCTAGCCATGATAATTATATATTATTTAATAACTATACTTAAGTGTATTAGCATTACTATATCACACTATAATCACAAGAATGACCACAGCAGCAGCCAGACAAAGTTTGTTCTTGAAGAATTTATTATCCTGGCAGCAAATAAATCATACTAATACCAAAATACACTAATGGACAAGGGAAACAGCTAACTGCGGCCTTTCTGGCATGGTTAATATAGGAATAAAATATCTATGTAGAGCTGCAAGATGGTGACCCTTATGGCTGCCAAGGACTATCTGGCCTGCTGTTGGCATATGGCATAACTTGCTCTCACAAGCACCAAATGCTTCTGAAAATACAAATGAAGAATTATGGTAATGCATTAAGGAGGATACAACACTATACTGTACACAGTATGAGTGAACTTGCTGTACATCAACAAAACTATTTTCAAGCATACTGTAATATGTTTGAAAATCATGAAATACAGTACAATGAAATACAGTACAAGGTTTAATGTAAATTTGTCATATACAAAGGCCTATTTTATTTTCAAACTAATATGTAAATATTCAGGTATCCCTGTAGGGATACCTTTAAGAGATTCCCCAAAGTTTTTATTAATTTTCTTCCTCCAACTTTTCAATTATTTCACTAATAACTTGAGAACTCATACAAACAGCTTCAAAATTTCAACATTTGTGTACAGTAATGTGGATATAATTTTTAAAACAATTGGCATGTTCACTTGCCCTATGACTAAAGTTGCTGAACTCATTCCCAGCACCCTGGAAAGGCTCAGATAACTTGCAAAACCATAAGGAGCATAGCTTCAACTGCTCAGAAAAGGCAATAAATTTGACAACCTGTCACTTCTCTGAACCTTTAATCTACATTCCACTCAGAAAAGGTGCAAAAAATATAACAATGGCAAAGAGTGAAATTAATATGCACAAGTGCAGATCTCCTAGGTATTAAGCTGGTAGACAGCAGCCACCCAGGGAGGTACTACTGTCCTAAGAAGTGAGTGTTAAATGGAAACCTGTAATTGTTTTATGTGATAGTAGGATTGCTGATGTCTTTCTTCTCTCATAAACATGCAAGATTTCAGGTATGTCTTGCTACTTCTACTTACACTTAGGTCATATTACACATACATGTACAAGTATATACATACCCAACCCTCTAGGTTTTCTATTTTCTTGCTAGTTCTGGTTCTTGTTTATTTCCTCTTATCTCCATGGGAAAATGGAACAGAATTCTTTCTTCATAAGCCATGAGTTTCATAAGAGGCAACTAAAATACTGGGAACAAGGGGCTAGTAACCCCTTCTCCTGTATACATTACTGAAGTTATGAAAAGCTTATGTTTTTCTTTTTGGGCCACCCTGCTTCAGTGGGATACAGCTGGTTTATTGAAAGAAGTGCAAATTTGACCATTTTGTGTAAAATAATGAGAAATTTTTATTCCTGTTAAACTATGTTAAATAATTTTCAGTTTACCTCATCTGAACAGCTTCAATATTAATGGCTGATGCATCTAGAGCTAGAATAGTGCCTATTAAGTTTTGTTTGAGTATGGGCTAATTTGTTGATGTAGTAAAACAGAAAAAAAAATTGGAATCATTTGAATCTGTGCCATAACAAGAGAAAGACTCAGCTGATCATCAAATTTTTGCCACTGGTGTGACTTCCTGAACACAAGGCTCATGCTGCTATTGAGTGGTACACGTCTCAATTTGCCAATTTTACTGAATAAGTGATAGTCATTTGTTATTAAATTTATTTATTTATTTTTATTTGGACATGATACATAGTTGTACAAAGAAATATAGTGATTGGGTGTACATGCCAAAAGCCCCCTTGTATGCAGAGCATTATGGGCAGGGTTAAAATTAACTTAAGATTAACTAAGCAATGATATATTCAGTGGTAAAAATTACAGTAAAATTACAACATTAAGTACAAATGAGTATTTCAAAAAAGAAGCATTGAAGTTGTACAAATTTGTAGCATAACAATGTATAATATAATCAGATCAAATTAAACACAGTCAATGATTTATAGTGCAGAAACAGGTCATATGGCCATAAGAGGAGTTACTGTGCATTCAAGAGAATGGAGTATTCTATTAGGTAATGTACTGTAATTAAAAAAACATAGTTGATAGGGTCACAGGTTATTTAGTATTTATTTAGTTGTGGGTGAGTAAGTGGTTTTTAAGAGTCTTGAACTGATAAACAGTGTTTCTTTTATATTCACATGTAATGAATTCCAGATTTTTGGGCCTTTTATGTGCATCGAGTTTTTACACAGTGTGAGATGGGCGTGGGGAACATCAAAGAGTGATCTGTGCCTTGTGTTATGGTCATGTGTTCTGTTAAGGTTGGTATGGAGAAGTATGAGAGAAGGGCTTATATAAGAGTTTAGTGTTCTATGTATGTAGTAGGCACAATAATAAGTATGGATGTTTTGCACGGTGAGTAAGTTTAGAGTTTGAATATTGGTGGAGTATACTGTCTAGAGTGGGAATTTGTTATCATTCTGACTTCAGCCTTTTGTTGGGTAATTAATGGTCTGAGATTTATTGTTGTTGAGCCCCATGCACAAATTCCATAGGTGAGTGAGTGATATAGGGCCAGGAGGGCTGATTGTGGAACATAGTACCATATCTTTGATAGTATGCCTATGGTCTTGGAGATTTTCGTGGAAATTTGTTGTACATGTGTTTGAAATTTGAGTATTATCAAGGTGGATTCCTAAGAATTTTCCCTCTGTGAGCTTTGTGATAGGTGATCCGTTTATCATTATGTTAAGAGGAACATCTGTAGTTCTGTTCCCAAAATGAATGAAGTAGGTTTTGTCAATATTGAGAGTAAGTTTGTTAATCATCATCCAGGTAGATTTTTCTGTAATTTGGTATTTACAGTATTTGCTAGTATGACTGGGCTTGGGTGAGAGAAGGTGTATGAAGTGTCATCTGCAAATAGTGTGGGTTTGAGTAGTTGCGATGCATTTGGTAGGTCGTTTATGTAAATGAGAAAGAGATGAGGGCCAAGTACACTTTCCTGTGGGACACCAACTGTAATTGGCTGTGTGGAAGAGTTTGCTCCATTTGTGTACACATATTGGCTTCTGTTGCTAAGGTATGACTTTAGGTAGTTGAGGGAGTGCCCTCTTATACCATAGTGTGATAATTTTATGTGCAACAAATCATGGTCAGCTGTATCAAAAGCTTTACGTAAATCAATGAAGATCCCAATGGGATTTCTTTTTTCTCGAGTGCTGTGTATATAATAGCATCATTCGTATTTTTATTAGGTCTGAACCCAAACTGGCAGGGGTTGAGTATGTTGTGGGAGATGAGGTAGGAATAGATTCACTTATGAATTAATTTTTCAAAGATTTTAGAGAGAGGGTGTAAGTTGGATATTGGCCTATAATTATTCAAGTCTGCTTGATCTCCTTTATGTATCAGGGTGACCCTCGCTATTTTGAGAACTGTAGGGAAGGTAGAGGATTCGATGAAATTGTTAAAGAGTGTTGCAATGATTGGTGACAGTACTTGTGAAGCTTTTTTTGTATATAAAGGGTGGTAAGGTATTTAAATCTCCTGTCTTGTTCTTTAGTGTGTTGATAATAAGGTTAGTCAGAGCTAGGAACAGTGTGTTCGGGTAGGTGCCAGTGAGGTAGTCATTAGGTGGGGTATTTGAGCTTGGGATTTTACCCGCAAGGTTTTTTCCTGTGGTGGAGAAGAAAACACTGAGTCTGTTTGCTGTTTCAGTTGGTGGGAGTAAGGGTTCATCTGGTTTTGTTAGTTTGATTGTTTTGTTTCCTGATATCCTTTTTGTTCCTAGAATTTCGGATAGGGTTTTCTAGCTCTTTTTTATATCACCTTTTAAGTTGGATAATCTGTTCTCATACAATTTTTTTGCCCTTCTTATGAAGCTGGTTAGGATTGATGAGTAACATTTTGTTTGGTCTCTGGTTATGTGACCCATTCTGTACTGTTTTTCATATAGGTGCTTTATATTTATGAATTTGAGGATACTGGGTGTTAGCCAGGGATTGTTCAGTCTCTTGGCTGTGATCTATTTAGTTTTTGAGGGCAGTGCTTGTTATAGAGGTACTGGGTCTTTTTTAGAAAATTATTAATACATTCATCAGTATCTGTATAGATTTCTAGCTCAGTTTGTCAGTCAATGTTTGTCATTGCTGTTATGAAGTTATTAATGGCTGCCTCATTATGAAGTCTGAAGGTTACTTTAGTAGTGTCTTCGGGTAATTTACCTAGATTAGTTATGAGAAAGGTAGGGTAGTGGTCTGTGGTATTATCTGTGAATATGCCTGATTTTAAGGGGGATTTGGTGTTGGTCCAGATGTGGTCTAATAGGGAAACACTTGTCTCTGTAATTCTTCTAGGTTTTGTTACTGTTGGTAGCAACAAGCAGTTACTCATAGTGTTTGTGAATTCAGTTACATGTGGGTCCTGGTCTTGCAGGAGATTTATATTGAAGTCTCCTGAGAGTAGTAAGTGATCTTTGTTCATGTGTGCATCAGTTATCATACTTCCTAGGTTTTCACCAAAACAGCTAATATTTGACTGTGGTACTCTGTAGATGTTTATCACTGTGAGAGGTTTTTGTAGGTATTTGGATTTGAATTTAGCTATTATATATTTCCCAAGTTCATCCCTTGTGCAAGTATTATTTATACATTCTAGTTGGTCTGAGTAGTATATAGCTCTGCCACCCCCTTGTTGATCTGGCCTACAGTTGTGTATGGCTGTGTAACCAGGAATGGCAAAGACATCTGTAGTATCTGGCTTTAGCCAGGTTTCGGCGAGAGTAATGATGGACATACTGGCATGCAGAAAATTTAGTAATGCTGTGAGGCCATCGTAATGTTTTCTTAAAGATCTGACATTGTAGTTGGTTCTGAGAAGTGCCTTTGTTTGTTCTGCTGTGTAGTAATTACAGTTGCTGTTTGATTCATTTCAGTCATTCAGTAAGAGGTTGGTATCAGGATCAATGCTTGTAATCATAAGATTTATAGTGACTCTAAAATTAGACTTGAGTATAAGACAATGTAAATATTCTAAGGCTAAAAAATAGCACCTTAATTATTTTAACATATGTGAATATATGAACTAAGGTAGTTCTTTAAAGCTAAAATAAAGGAGAAAATATAAAAGGGACTAAAATAAGTAGGGGTAAACCAAGTTAAATGGAGAGATACTTTAGGAGTAAGATCTGACTTGTAATATGAAGTTTGAGCAATTAAACCTTTCAGGGTCCACAGGCCCTCTCAGAGACTTGTTCTCAGGATCCCCCAAATTTCAAAAAAAAAA